AAAAGGCTAAAACCACCTATTCAGATGGTCTCATCCTCTATTAAATTCTGTTGATGTTTCAGAGAATTTCTGTAGAAAGACATTGTTTCTCTCCCTATTAAATCTGTAGGACGTATCAGGAAGGAAGATGAAGGGTGGGTTAGTTCTGGATTCCAGGTCCATCTCTGTAGTGTTTATGGGAAAGTGGAGAAAGATAATTTGTCTTTTGCAAACAGAGCAGAGACGAGGCAGGGGTGCACGGGAGTGTGTGACACCGGCGGTTGGCTGCAGTGGGAAGGGGACCGGTGGCAGCAATTAATGGGTGGGTGACAGATGCCACAAGAAAAAATGCAATTTGAGAGCCACCAATAATAATCCTCGTAGCCACAGGTGGAGCCCTCTGCTCCTGTCTGCTTTGCTGCTGATCCCTGACTGAATCTGACAGGAAAGCGGTTCCTGGAACCATGAACTCCTTGGGGAAAACGCTTATGGGAACTTTATTCCCTTGCTACTTCCTCTGCAGAGACTAGAGGATTAACAGGAGTGTAACAGCTAAGGCAGTGTGGGGGAAAAAACAACAACAACCCAGAGTCACCATCAAGCCAGTCACAGACAAAAACCCTTCTGCAGGCCGGTTTGTTGGACAACCAAAGTGTACTTGACATTTGCCAGCCCGTCTTGGGCAGGGTTTGAAGTGGGCCTGTTGCACTTGCTGAGTAGTATCTAAGCTTCCCTTTAATAATACAGAGTCTCCTGCCCTTACGATCATGGGGGAAACTTTTGAAACCTGTCCTGAGTAGGACTGGTGCAGCGCTAGCGGGTAGGAGGCACAAACAAGCCATTTTTCTGGTGGCGGTGCTTCAGAGGTGCTAACTCAGGGCTGGTTAAAAGGGCCAAGCAGGTCCATCGGGTCCACGGAGGTCTTGCCATTCCCAGGCCAATCAGGGAAGGGTCTGTATCTCCTTATAAGCTGGCTGGCTTGAGTCCTAGGTCCCTGACCTGTGCTCAGGCCTGTAAATCAATGTCCAACAGTTCCCTTCAAACCCAGAGCCCTGAGTACAAACCAGGTGGAGAGCAAAGCCGTTTTGATAGAGGCACAAGAAGATTTGCAAATGAGGCCGTCTACACTTCTCTTTCTTGTGCAAAAACCCCTCTCGTGCAAGAATCGTTCTGCCTGAAAATAGGTGACATGCTTCTGGGATTCCTGGCCCCTGTTCAATACAGCTCCCATTGGACAGACCAGATCTCCACTTTCTACTTTCAAACAACAGTTGCCTCTGCAAAACAACCTCGTTCACGTTGTCCCTGGAGGAGGCTGCTGAGAGACAAAGTATAGTCAGAAATGGGTGGGCTCCTATCGCGTTGTGACATGCTTGTGACTATCCCGCTATCCGGCAAGCCCCCGCCCGAATGTCTGGTTGCTGCCTGAACGGTAGCAGGGAGATACGAGCTGGGGACTGGAAGCGTGTGGCTGTGTCAAGTCACCATTTACCCGGCCCTCGAATCAGACTGGTGTGAGAGGGGCGCTGGCAGGGGAGGCGGCGTGGGCAGGGCAGGGTACAGCAGGGTTCACGCTACGATTTTCCCTCCATGAGCCGAGTGAGTTTTGTCTTGGGCACCGTCACTGAGTCGTGCGCTTGTTCAGATGTGCCACTGTGGCACCCAAGTCATAAATCTCCCCCTCTGCTGCCATGTCTTCCACCCTCTCCTTGCCCCATCTGTTCCCCTAGTGCCTGCTGCTGCCCCACCCCCATCCCTCACCCTCTTCTGCTGTCCTGGCTCCTGCCCTTCTCACTCCCGTAGCCTTCCTGGGACTTGCCCTCATCCCCATTCTCTCTGACCCCTGCACCTGCCCTTCCCTCCTGTGCCCACCTCTCCTTTAGCTCCCCTCCCCAACTCCTCTCCTAACACCTCCCTCTACCCACCTGCCCTGTCTCTTTCCTCTGCCCTCTGGTGTCTGTCCCTCCCCTTCCCATGTCTGCCCTTCTGCTTCACCCCCACAATCCCCTGGCACCAGCACCTTCCCTTACCCCCTGCACCCTCCTGGTGCCTCCCTCCCACTTCCCTCCCTGCCCCTGCCCTTCCAACATCTGTCCCCCTTGTCCTCTTCCTCCCTAGTGCCCACCCCCTCACCACCCTCTGCCCCAGTTCTCCTCACGCCCCTCTGTGCCCTCACACATGACTTGCTCCATCCCCCTCCTTCCTCATGCCCACCCCCTTTCAGTCCTCCTTCTCCTACCACCCACTGCTCCCCTCTCCTCTTGCCCCATTGTCCTTCTCCTTTCCTCTCCCAGCATCACCCTGCCCCCTCCCCTAATCCACCCTCAGTGACACCTTCCCATTCCCCTGCCCCCGCCCTGCTCCTCCTGCCTTTTCTCCTCATTGTCTCCTCTTGGCCCCCTGGCATTTGTCTCTCCTCCACCCTGCCCCTTGGTGCCTTCCCCTTTCTTCTCCTGCCCTGCCCCTCCTCCCCTCAGCCCAAGCCCCTTCCTCTCCTCACCCCCAACTTCCCTTTAGTTTTCCCCCTACCCCTTACCTCACCTTTTGCCATTCTGACACCTGCACCTGCCTGGCAGGGCAGCATGGCGGGTGGCTGCCCTGCGTGCTGAGACTGGAGCCAGGCCACAGTGCTATTTTTAGTACCATGGCCCAGGCTGCGTGGTGGCTGTCGGGCCGCCCTCCCCCCCCAGGCTACAGCCCCACCGGCAGATCAGCCAGGGCCACAGCTGTGCAGCTCTGCTGAGGGGTGGGTGGGAATGAAATTCTTGGTGCGCGCTCGCACAGGTGTGCACCTTACAGAGAACCCTGGTATACAGCTGTGGAACATCAGTTTTATCCTCTCTTCCTGCATTTGTATGTATTTTTCGTAATCTCCCTTGTGCTCCGGTTCAAAAACCAGATGGGTACCTCCACAGGCTAACTTGCCCCCATGGCCATGCATTTGTTGCTTAATATAGATTTTAAAGACAGAGGGAATGTCTGCCCTGGGGAGTTATTTCGAAATAACTCCCCATATTTCGAAATAACAAGGCGTGCGTCCACAATACCAAGCCTGTTCTTTCAAAATAATGGGCTTGTTATTTTGAAATAATAACTCCTGCTGGTGAACAGGAATAAGCTTATTTTGAAATAGTTACTTCAGGAGTTATTATTTTGTAATAACTTATTTCAAAATAACCTGGTAGTGTAGGCATAGCCAGAAGGAACCATTATCAGTCTCCCAAACTTGTTGGGTTCTAAAGATTTGATGAATTAAGATCCTTGCCTGGCCCTGATTACTGTAATGATAATTCAAGCCTCTCCCACGCACTAATGACTGTTCCCCATGTAAAGAAGGTCTGTGTTATTTCCCCTATTTTTACAGATGGGAAACTGAGGCACAATGAGATGAAGTGACATGCCCAAGGGCACACAGCAAGTCTGTGTTAGTCCCAAGAGTTGAACCCAGCTTTTCTGAATAATGATACGGTGGCTGAAACACAAGATCATTCTTTCCTCTCCTTCATGCCAGCTCTTCAGTCTGGAGATTTCAATGGATTTAAGTCTACTAACAGCTGGACCAAAGGCTTAATTGAGGGTCACAGGAGAAATAAATCAACAAAGGGCAAATTCATTCTAGCAAAGTTACTTCTTCAAGATGTATTCCCTGTCCTGGCAATATACCTTGGCATCACTTCAGACAGCTGCATCTTCCCCATGTTTCCTGAGGGCTTGAAACCAGAAAGGAAAAATTGTGAAAAGATTTGATTAAGGTAAGGGAGAAATACAAAAACAGGCTTTATTTCCCAGTTCTGTATAACCTCTTATATTAATCCATTGTGCTAAATGAGGACAGATTTATTCATATTATGTGCAGTGGGACTTCAGGAACACGGCCGACCGGTCAATTTTTAGCCTGTTGCATAGAATCATACAATCCTAGAACAGGAAGGAACCTTAAGAGGTCATCACATCCAAGCCTCTGCCCTCACAGTAGGACCAAGCACCATCTAGAATCTCAGTGGTTCCCAAACTTTTCAGGATCATGCCCCTTTTTTGATTTCTGGGAAACCCTCACACCTGCCCCCCCCCCAAAAAAAATTGCAGCAAAACTTGAGCAAAACAAAAAAAAGAAGCTTGCCCTTTTAAGAATAGGGCAGGTATTGCCCTTTTAAGGTGGCCATTTTAGAGTCTGCCCGCCTTGGGGGGGCGGATTTACGGGGGGAAGAGGAGGACTGGGTCACCTCATGCCCCCCCTGGAATTTCTTTGCACCCCTCAGTTTGGGAACCTATTGATCATCCTGGATAGATGCTTGTCTAACCTGCTCTTAAATATCTCTAGTGATGCAGATTCCACAATCTTCCTAGGCAATTTATTCACATATTTAACCACCCTAACACAAAATTTTTCTTAATGTCTAATATATAGAAGTTACATATAGAAGTCTCTGGGGCTACATTAGTATAAACGGGTATGGAATCTAGCTGTTGAGCTTTAATGGAGCTGCAGTGTGTAGATTTTCTCTACTCACGCTTGGGCAGTATTCTAATTTTAGTTACATTGGTATAAATATGGAGTATCCCTACAAAAGTCAGGAAGGCTTGATTGCCTACTTCAGTTTTATGCTGGTGTAACTACATTGGTTTGAAAGGCCTGGCCCTCCAGTGCAAATCTATTACTCCAGAGTGCCTACTAACTAGGCGATAAACTTTTTTAGACATGCGTAGGTTATAAACCGATTATTTTGGTGTAAATCTGGAGGGAGGCAATGGTGAATCAAGCCAACACAGTTATTCCATTTACACTGGTGTAATTGACTGCAGAGTCTGGATCATGACATGGGAATCACGTGTTTGACAAAACTCTTGTTTTTCTCTGCAGCAGTTAAGCCTTAGAGAGAACGAATGTTTTTCACTGCTGGGTTTTTTTTTTTTTTTTTTTTGTTACAAGTCTAAGTTGTGGAATGCAGAAAGCATTTGAGGGGAGGGTTACAAACACAAAGGTGTCTCGGGTGGCTCTTTGAGCTAGTGGGTTAAGCCATGCTGAAGAAACAGAAGATGCCTTTGTTGTTTTTTAAAGCATTTGCCAACATTATGAAACCAAAATAGGGCAGATACTGTACAAGGGAACTTTTCTCCCTTGCTGATTATTCCTCACCAGTTAATCAGCCATCACATACATTTATCTCAAGTGGCCCTGCTCTCAGGCCTGATCCTGCAAGATTTATCCATATGAGTATCCCTTGCTCCTGGAAGCAGACTTTTGAAAACTTAGGGAAACTTCTAGTGTAATCCACAAACCTCGGGTGCATCTACATTGCACCTCGAGCTCGAAATAAGCTATGCAATTTGAGCTATGCAAATTGCGTAGCTTATTTCGAGCCAATTTCGAAATAGCTTATTTCTAAATGTGGCGCTGTCTACTCAGCACTTATTTCGAAATAAATCACTATTCTGAAACGTCCCTTACTCCTCGTGGAATGAGGTTTACAGGGACGTCGGAATAGCGTGCCTGTTATATTTCGAAATAATGGGCACGCTCAACAGATGTGGAATAGCTATTTCAGGATACCTCTGCAGTGTAGACGGAGCCCTTATGTGGTTCGCTGTCCCTTGTAATGGCACTTAGACCACTTAGAGCAAGAGATAAGAACAAGGGCGCTCTACAGCCTAAGCTGAAAGTCAGCTGGCTTTATATCTCAAGCTGTAGAGGCTCCTCTACTAAGCATCCGAGGTTCAAATCTACCTGGTGGTGGTTGTGCTAGCTCAAGCTATTGCTCTCAAGATCTGACCTCCAGTCCTTTTCCTGTAATTGCCTGTTTGTTATTTATCTTGCCAGCTGGGGCAGATGCTGCAGGAGGAGCATAGACTCTGAGATCACTTACAGCGAGAGATAAGAATACCCCTTCAATTCACATTGGGGCAACATAAGGTTAAGCAATCCAGTTCCTGTGCCTAATTCCTGCTAATAATGAAAGAGGCCACTTTCTCTGGTGCTGCAGAGAACAGGGATGTAAAATCCCGTTTCATTAGTTAACCAGTTAAACATAACATATAACAGGTTAACTGCTTAAATGAGGCTGGGGGGACACTTCAGGCCAGCTGGGCTGGGCCTGCCATGGACAGGCTGCCCCAGCCCCCCCCCCCCCCCCCGCAGGTGGGGAGCAGTTCTGGACAAGCTGAAGTGCACCCCGCTGGGATGGAGCAGCCCCCTGCCCTTGTTGGACAGGAGGCTGCTCCAGTTAACCATAACCAGTTAACCATTCACATCCTTAGCAGAGAACAGACCAGCAATGGAGTGGAACAGTGGTTGTGCAGGGGCCTGATGGTGAAAATGAGGATATTAAGTTCAGTGCTGAGAAAAAAAGAAGCCAGAGAAGGGATTCAAAGAGGAGAGCTGAGATAGGAAGGGGCAGGAACGTAGGTGGAACATTTTGGGAAGGGGAGATGCAGGGAGCTCAGAGCAGAGGAAACGCTCATAATTATGGGTAAACCCTAGTAATTATAGAACCGCTTCCATGTGAGGAGAGATTACTAAGATTGGGACTGTTAAGCTTAGAAAAGAGAAGACTGAGGGGGGATATGACAAAGGTCTATAAAATCATGATTGGTATCAAGAAAGGGAATAAGGAAAAGTTATTTACTTGTTCCCATAACATAAGAACTAGGGGTCACCAAATGAAATTAATAGGTGGTAGGTTTAAAACAAACAAAATGAAGTATTTCTTCTTGAAAAGCACTACTTGTGGAACTCCTTGCCAGAGGATGTTGTGAAGACCAAGACTTTAACAGGTTTTAAAAAAGAACTAGATAAATTCATGGAAGTTAGGTCATCAATACTTATGAGCCAGGATGGGTAGGAATGGTGTCTCTAGCCTCTGTTTATCCAAGGAATGGATGACAGGAGAGGGATCACTTGATGATTTCCTGTTCTGTTCATTCCCTCTGGGGCATCTGGTATTAGCCACTATTGGAAGACAGGATACTGAACTAGAAGGACCTTTGGTCTGACCCAGTTTGACCGTTCTTACGGCATAGGCAGAAGAGATGTAATGTAGAGGAAGAAGCAGGCTTTAACAAGAAACTAGAAGTGGAGGGAGAAGAGGAAAACGATTCTCTAGCATACTTCAAAGTTGGCTCTTAACAAGTGCAAGTTCATTGATCTTAGAGTTGCATCTGCCAATGCCAAGTCCTATGAATTTGCATTATTTGTGAGTGGGAGATTCTCTGCACAAAGAGAATAAATAACTGGGTGGCAATTCCTTGTTTCCCGATAGATGAAGTACTGGAGGGCAGTGGAGCTATACCTTAGGAACACTACCCCATATGATCTTGGAAATATTCAGTGGCCTCCTATGTTTTTAATTAAAATTAAAAGAACTTCTTAGTCTAGCTCCCAATGAAGTTGACAGGAAGACTCGTGGGCCCAGATCCCCAAAGGTATTTAGGCACCTGTATCCTGTGGGAGTTAGGCACCTAAATATCTTGAGGGTATGGGCCCACTTGACCTCGTGGGAAGAGGAGGCTTAAATAAGAACGAGTCATAAACAGAAGCAGGTAGAATGTTCCCAGCTCAGCCCAGATGGAGTGAATCACAGGTCGCTTGGTGTTCCCTCGCCAACTGAAAGCCTAACCCAGCCTTGCCAACAGCATCTCAGCCTGAGCCCAGTTGAAAGGGAGCATGGGGAGGATTTAGGTGCAGAAACCAGCCCAGACTTGCACATTTTGTGTAGTTTAAACCTGACGATGCTTCGGGGCTTCTGATGAGCTTCCCATGGAGGATTTGATCCAGGCTTGCAGTTCAAACAAAGGAGGAATGAATCTGTAGTAGATGAGACTGAAAAAGTGGCTTGTGAGGCTGCTTAGAAATGTCACCTGTAATCTTTCAGCCAGACTTGGTAAAAAGAGATCCACTCCATCTCTGGTATAGCTCAGGGGGAGCTGCAGGAGCTCACAGGATCACACCACAGCTGTGTTAGGGAACAAAATATACTCACAGGAGCCCTTGACTGAAAACCCTTGCTCCTTAATGCTCTGAACCTGGGACAAGGTGGGCAAGAAGAGACTTTGGGGATTAGATATAAAGTTCAGCTCAGCTTCACTGTATTATACAATTACCTAAGATTTCAAAAGTGTTACACCCTAAATGGAGGGTTGCAAATTTTGCTTGGACATATTCCTGGAGGTTTCATCACATGATGTAATCTCTCCTTAAAGATGAATCTTTAATTCCTGGAGACTCCAGGACCGTTCCTAAACTGCACAGGGTGCATTCATTCAAATCATCCTTTTAAAGCGACTGCCTCCAACCTGACTCGTGGCTTCAGAGGGTGTCTTTCACTCACTGACATGTAATATAATTATCTTCTATAAAGCATACGGACACAAAGGACGCGTCCTGTAATTTACAATTCGTTGGTGCATTGCTTCTTCAGCAGAGATTCCTTACAATTTGGCTCACACCTTTTACCCATAACGAACCACATTCTCTTCTCAGTTACACTGGCCTGGCTGCTTCAGTGAGGCTGTGGCAATGTGACTGACGGTACGTCTACACAGCAACATTATTTCCAAATAACTTAGTCCGTGTCTACACAGCAGGCAGTTATTTCAAAATAATGTTGAAATACTGTCAAGCTGAAGGACTTCTTACTCCGACTCCTGTAACCCGCATTGTACGAGGTGTAAGGGAAATCGGAGGAAGAGTGCTCGATTTCGAAATCAGTGCTGTGTAGATGCTCCCAGTTTCAAAATAAGCTATTTCGAAATAATT